AACCTAGAGGAATTGGATTATTTTAATTTTCAAGCACTCAAAAACATTCATTTCTCTTTAACTGATACACTTGTCTTTGTCAAAATCTTAATGATCCTTTCCCCTCTGCCTTTAAAAAAAGCAAAGCAACAAACTCACCTGGACAAGGAGTTCACTTTCAGCAATAAATTCCCTCTGAACAAAAGTTTATTTTATGGTCTGCATGAACAATAATGCCTTCAAGACCTGTTTTGGGTGAGAGGGGCTGATGAAGGAGAGCAGGGTTTGAGTGGCACTTGAGCTCAAATGTGCCAGGGAATTTCAGTTTGTTCAAAACTGCATTATTTGAGACAGAAATCAGATTAGAAGAAACATGTAAATGCATTAAAATGACTGTATGGGAAGAGAGGAAACAAACAGAAATAAGAGACTTCAGAAGCAAAGGAGGTGACACCAATTGTGATTTTTGATGCACTGCTGGAATCTGATGTGCTGGATCATATAAATGTAATATTAATGAAAATGAGTAACTCAAGGAGCTGTGTAAAGGTGAGATTTGGAGAAGGTAGTATTATGTCAAAGGAATCTTGGTTTTTGGTGTGCAAAACGAACCTGAAGGAAAACAGCAGTGAAATCTTTGGGAAGAGGAAAAACTTTTTTTTTGCATTGGAAAAAAAGCTGGGGTAACATTTACCTGTGGCTGCTCATGCTGAAGGGCACAGACAATGAAATTGGAGGAGGTGCCTGAAAATTTATGAACTTGTGCTTAGAACTGACCTTGTAAAATAACTAAGATCAAAGGAGGGAATATAAAGAAAAGAAATTAATACTCATTTCTGAAAGTCCAGATTATGAGCATCCTTTGGGTATTGAGGAAATTAGCTAGAAATACCCTGCTGTACAATGGAGAATTTCATCCTGAAAAGTCACGTCTAACTGGGAAGGTAAGCAAATATTAGAACAAAGAAAATGAAGTGACAATTTTCTGAGGACAGAGGAGTGAACCTGGTAATTAAAGATAATTAATTTTAAAAGACCCAGGCTTAGTTTGTAAAAGACATTTAAAATATAACTAGGGCAGAATACAGACATTTAGTGTCAGGAAGTGTAATCCTTCTAATTTCTGCCTGAATGTGAAGAGACAGCAATCAGCCAGGGCTTCCAAGAGCTCCAGGAAGGTTTATCTAAATCCTGGTCTGTTTTCCCACACAACTTTGCTTCTCCTACACCCCAGCTTGGCCTCAGTTTCACACCTTGCCCTGGGTGAGATCTTCTCTCCAGTTAT